ATCAAGTTCGCAGGTGCTATCAATATGGCCCTGCAGCTTTTCCTTGTCGTTCAGGGTGAAAGGGAGCTTTAAATCTATCATAGCATTCAGTTGCAAGCAAGTCTTTCAAGATTGAATGTATTGTATGGAGTTGACAGGTTCATCATTTCTCTCTTTCTATTGTCTGGTACTTCACAAGTTACAAAGATAGTCTTGTTTGGTCTGTAGATGTCAAGGTTTTATAATCCCTGAGAGTCAGTGTTAAGAGTTGAATCCCTGAGAGTCAGTGTTAAGAGTAGAATCCCTGAGTGTCAGTTTTAGAGTAGAATCCCTGAGTGTCAGTGTTAAGAGTAGAATCCCTGAGTGTCAGTGTTAAGAGTAGAATTCCTGAGTGTCAGTGTTAAGAGTAGAATCCCTGAGAGTCAGTGTTAAGAGTAGAATCCCTGAGAGTCAGTGTTAAGAGTAGAATCCCTGAGAGTCAGTGTTAAGAGTAGAATCCCTGAGAGTCAGTGTTAAGAGTAGAATCCCTGAGAGTCAGTGTTAAGAGTAGAATCCCTGAGAGTCAGTGTTAAGAGTAGAATCCCTGAGAGTCAGTGTTAAGAGTAGAATCCCTGAGAGTCAGTGTTAAGAGTAGAATCCCTGAGAGTCAGTGTTAAGAGTAGAATCCCTGAGAGTCAGTGTTAAGAGTAGAATCCCTGAGAGTCAGTGTTAAGAGTAGAATCCCTGAGAGTCAGTGTTAAGAGTAGAATCCCTGAGAGTCAGTGTTGAGAGTAGAATCCCTGAGAGTCAGTGTTGAGAGTAGAATCCCTGAGAGTCAGTGTTAAGAGTAGAATCCCTGAGAGTCAGTGTTGAGAGTAGAATCCCTGAGAGTCAGTGTTGAGAGTAGAATCCCTGAGAGTCAGTGTTAAGAGTAGAATCCCTGAGAGTCAGTGTTAAGAGTAGAATCCCTGAGAGTCAGCGTTGAGAGTAGAATCCCTGAGAGTCAGTGTTGAGAGTAGAATCCCTGAGAGTCAGTGTTGAGAGTAGAATCCCTGAGAGTCAGTGTTAAGAGTAGAATCCCTGAGTGTCAGTGTTAAGAGTAGAATCCCTGAGAGTCAGCGTTGAGAGTAGAATCCCTGAGTGTCAGTGTTGAGAGTAGAATCCCTGAGAGTCAGTGTTGAGAGTAGAATCCCTGAGAGTCAGTGTTAAGAGTAGAATCCCTGAGTGTCAGTGTTAAGAGTAGAATCCCTGAGAGTCAGTGTTAAGAGTAGAATCCCTGAGTGTCAGTGTTAAGAGTAGAATCCCTGAGAGTCAGTGTTAAGAGTAGAATCCCTGAGAGTCAGTGTTAAGAGTAGAATCCCTGAGAGTCAGCGTTGAGAGTAGAATCCCTGAGAGTCAGTGTTGAGAGTAGAATCCCTGAGAGTCAGTGTTGAGAGTAGAATCCCTGAGAGTCAGTGTTGAGAGTAGAATCCCTGAGAGTCAGTGTTGAGAGTAGAATCCCTGAGAGTCAGTGTTAAGAGTAGAATCCCTGAGTGTCAATGTGTTATGATTGGTTTGTGTGTGTGTGTGTCTTTTTTAGGGAACCAGATCGGGAACAGTGGTCAGTCAGTGTAATTCGATCTAGCTTCAATATATTATGAAGTTATGAAGTCATAAAAAATATATCTGACTTTTGTTTGGTGGAGTCAAGACAGAGTCTGTCAGTCACTGTCAGTGTCAGATGGAACATGCCAGTTAGACATGGGGGGGGGGGTCTTTCAGTGGCAGGCGGGATCGGTCGTAGCCATAAGGGGGCCTGTCAGTGACGGGTGAAAAACATTTTTTAGTGAGACAGCTGAAAGTTAAAAAGATTTTTATTCACAAGAGTTTCAAGCAACAATTGGTTGATACTTATTTATTTTGTTTAATCAACACCAATCAAACCACCAAAACTATGTCCCATCCAAAATAATACATACATTTCTTAATTCTGTGATTTTTTCTCTATCTCTTGATCAGACACACAAGATATTGAACATCCAGGGAGCAGTTTAACGTTTCATGAACATAAAAAAAAAAAACCAGGAAGTGGGTCAATGAGCAGTCCAAAGCTGTTGCCCTAAACACAAGAGCCAAGTTAATATAAAGGATTTAATAATGAAACAACCCCAGAACGCAAAGTTTTCGTATAAATTCTAAAGATTAATTTATGATTATTTTATTTTATATTGATGCTCTAATGACCCGTCCACTTTTACACCGCAGATTTATTGCACCAATTATTTCAGAAAAACAAAAGAAAATAGTGTGCACCAAACGCACTTGTGACATTTTTTTTTTAAAGAATCTCACTAAGCTCTGTTATGTGGAATTTTAATTTTTGAAATCAGTGTCATCATATTTCCTTCATCTTCACCTTGAAAAAACAGGGAAAACTTAGTTTTGGAGGGTGGGGTTGGAGTGAAAAGGGGGGGAGGGGTGGGGCTGAAAATTTGAAAGAATTTCCTGTCGTTGGCAATGAGTCTATGTGCCAAGTTTCAGCTCGGTAGTTTGATGGGAAGTGGGTCAATTAGCCATCTGAAGATTTTGCCCTAAACACAAAAACAAAGTTAATATATAGGATGTAATAAAAAGAAATAGGAGTCTTATCCGTTCAGGGAAATAACACTATCTGCCCCCTGCAGAACGTGCAGCTGTTATTTAAAACAGTCAAGTCATTCTTCAACATATATAAGAATAATAATAATAATCACAATCAATAATACTTCAGGTCACAAAACTTTATATGTCAGTCGGTGAAATTTAAGGAACACATTATTCAAAAGCTGAACATGCCTCCATACTGCTTTAAACATGTAAATACACTTCCATTTCATCTTTTTACAGAAAAAATTTGAAATCTGGAAAAATTTGCAATGGTTATTTGTTGTAGCCCAGGAGGATGCACTTGACGCCTGCCAGCTACAGAGGAAGAATCACATTACTGCACATGTATAACTTATAGGCAGGTTTTCCCGATCCGTGGTGCTCACCCTCTCTCCTCAGGGAATGTCAGGTGACATTTCAGGGGGGGGCCGAGGACAATGGATTATCAGAGCAGAGGAGACATTAGCTTTTGTGTTATATAAATATTAAAATGTGTATATATTTTTAAACATTTTTTCATTAACATTTTCATTTATGTAATAATTCACAAGTTTTTGTGGTGTATTTTTTTTTAAATTTTAAGTTCTATAATTCACTTTGTAATTTTAATCAAATAAGACGTTCATTATTTTCTATTTTAAAATGCATTGTCACTTTTGAAGGAAGCGTGCTGATTTTGCAAAATAATTCTTATCGGGGTGAGAGACTAGCCATTGAAATCTTAGGGTTGCTCTGAGTATAGAATATGTGGGTAAACACTATCTTACAATACAGTTGTGGACCAGAGGATGCAAAAGGCCACCACAAAATTTCTCAGTTTAAAAATCTTGTAGAAAAAGATTTTTCCAGTGCCAAGCATTGTACTTGAACCACTGACTGAGTAAACTCTTCAAACCAACATGGGCAGTGAACAAAAGCAGTGAGGTAAAAAAAACTTAGTTAACACAGTGAAAATAAAAAGGAGGATTAAAAAAATTGGTGCCACAATTAAAAAGAATAATTCATAATTAGTTTACTTTCTATGGTATATAACAATAAAAATTTTATATAATTTATAAAAATATTTTTAAAATGTATTTTTTTTTTACATCACTAGCAAACTCATGCTAATTTAATTTTAATTTACTTAATAAAAATATCATCACATGTCTCAATGGCAAAAAACAGAATACTGATCTTGAAGCAGGTGATACTTTTTACAATGGAATTTAATATGTAGCTTTCAAAATGTGATAGATTACAGTACTGTTTTAAAAGAAGGAGATCGTGAATGAAAAGAAACTCTGCTTCGAGGGGGTTGAATCCCGTCTCAAAACTGGGGCGGGGGCACGTTTCTAACCTATAAACCACCAGCCTAGAGGATATCAAATTGTTTATGATGACGATGCTATGAGCAAAGGGAAACCACTACTAAACTCAGAGTAGAAATGATATTTTGGATGATACACTAGGCCATCAAGCGCTACAGATGAAAATATATAGATATATACAGGCACTTGTCAAGAGAGCAAGAAAAACTCTTCGACCATAACGGGACAATCAAGATGAGTCCGAAAGGTTAAACCAGGTAAGGGTGAAATGTAACGGCTTACGCTGGCAAGTACATGTCAGAACGCTTTAATCTCAGGGAGAACCAGCAAACTATGACTAGAAAAATAGTAGCAGTAGCATAGGGAGCCCTCAACAACCCCCTCTCCCCTACCTACGCCTCTGATAGTAAATAATAGAGCATAAAAAAGAACAAAAGTTTGAACAATTATTATTAAAAAAATATATACAAGATTTTGACTTAGACTTAGAACCAACACTTACAGAGATCGAACCCAGTCCGACAATATGTTGAGGAGAAAAAATATCTCAGAAGTTTAAAAGCAACTCATTTGTTTAAATTTTACAGCGAGAGGTAATAGAGATCATTTCAGTGGGCCAACATTACTCACCTTAAAACACTTTGACGCTCCCAAGGCACTCAGGCCATTGCAATGCCACACACCACAGACATTGGACAGAGTCAATGAAACCATTGCAATGCTAGGCAGCAAAGACACTAGGCAGATCCAGGCGAACCATTGCAATGATAGCCAGCACAGACACTAGGCAGATCCAGGCGAACCATTGCAATGCTAGGCAGCACAGACACTAGGCAGATCCAGGCAAACCATTGCTATGCTAGACAGAACAGACACTAGGCAGATCCAGGCGACCCATGACAGCGCCACTTAAGGGTAGTAAAAATGATAGGAAGCACAATGGAAAAAAAAAATTTCAGCATCCACTGGAGAGGATTGTTTTGGTTTTTTTTTGGGGGGGGGGGGGGGGCAATAATTATTTTTTTAATTTTTTTACATACAAAGGAAAAAAAAATTTCAACATCCACTGGAGAGGTTTGTTTTGGTTTTTTTTTGGGGGGGGGGGGGCGCAATAATTATTTTTTTACTTTTTTTACACATACAAATTTAAATATTTAAATATAAATAAAATGTAAATTCACCACTGCAACACAACACCTGCATCACAGTTTTAAATTCTAGAGGGTCTCAAACTAGTAGGAATCGACTCAAAATCATTTTTTTCCTGCACCCAAAAAGTTACAAATTTAATCTAGTGCAATGCTGAATAACTTATTAAAAGACTGTGGTGATGCAGATGCTATGGCCACATCAAAATTGCGGTCCTTATGTGCACTCTTTCCGATGTTTTTTAGTTAAAGACTGAGAACAGCACGGACGCAAATTTTATAAGTGAGTATGAACTATAAGATATAAGCCGTTATCTTTTAAAATTAAATTTTGATTCAACCAGATATATGATAAGCATTTAAATCAAAATACGCAACAAAGGAAAACCCCTCATATTTAATTTGATGTGGTCAGGCCAAAAACCAACAAATGAGATTTGTGCAACTTGTTACAAAGATACATTTCAAGATCTCAACAGTTTTCTTGGCATATTCTTGATCGCAAAAAAAATTTGTAAAACTCATTACATACAGGAAACCTCGTTGCAAAAATATAAGAAATATTATCTTGGTTTCACATCATGGGGCAAAATAAAACAGGTGTTAAAAAAACACATATATATTTTAAAATAATATTATGACTATTCATGTTAACATATTGGATTTCATGGTAGCTCCTGTGTCAAGTGAGAAATTAACATAGCGGCGAACTCTTTTCTCAAGGAAACAACAAGTCATTATAAAGTAGTATATCAAAAATAGATTAACAGCCACTATAAAACACCCAATGCATGCTCCGTGTCGGCCACTAGAGTTCCGATATCAACATTACCACAGACAAGATTCTGACCTCTTATAGACAAACCCTGTGGCAGTTCCCTAGTGTATAAAAAAATATCACCTTTAACAAAACTAATTCGGTAAAATCTTGATTTAAAAAAGGAGCTTAATCGATAAACAAAATAAAACTATTCTTTAGTTCCCAACCTTTACAATACACATTTCTTTAATGTAATAATACCGATATTAAAAACTCACATTCAGTCGATAACTATACCGAAAGAATGTGATGGTTTTGAAAATTTTTTTTTTTTTACAAAAGATCAAGGAAAGTAGCCTTAAAAACCAGCACGAAAGTAAAAATCTGGCTGTGTTGATAAGGTAAAGTCTTTGTGGCCTGTGACCAGTTGTCTCATTCATTCTGTGCTGTACAGGTCCTCCTCAGCAGTGTCAGCTGGCATAGGTCTTTGGCATTGCTATTAAGTTGTTAACCTCTGATAAAGATATAACAAAAAAATTGAACAATTTTAAAATATAATATGTTTGATACAAAAATTTTAGTACGGGACATTTGTGTTCTACTAATAAATTATGTAAATTTCTCATTACAAAATACTAGCCCAAAACTATATTAAAGCAATCAGTGGAGTATCCAGGGTCAGTGCTGCCCAGGGCGGATCAAACTTTTTTGCCGCCCCCCCCCCCCCCACCCTGTCCACGAAAAAACTCTCCAGGCGGCAGAAAATGCTGCCCCTAAATATAAGAGGTTAAAAGTACCACCCAGGGCGGACTGTCCCCCTCGCACCCCCTTTCCTACGCCAATGAAAGCAATTATTCCTGAATAAATCTATTTAAAATTGTTTGCTTAGGATCACAAACATTATTTCATATTTTAAAAGAAGAGTCCTTTCTGTTCTCACTGGTGCTGACAAACAATACCGGCTATTGTATACTTTAAAAATTGTAAACTACTCTATTGTGCAACGGTTGCAACTCTTATACTGTGCTATGGTTGCGACTCTCATCCTGTGCCTTGGTTGCAACTCTACTGTGCTATTGTTAGAACTCAAATGTGTTATGGTTACAACTAATCTAAACTACTTTAGAAAAACAGTTAACTATCGAGCCAAAGCTCATGAAGTCTTCCCCAACACACCCTCGGCTAAACTCAACTGGCTATCGACTAATCCCCCAGTTGTCTTTATTCCAGTCGTGCCGCAAAGCAGCACACCGGGAGCTTTCCGCCCCTGAGACAGCCTCACCACCCTTCAACTCGATTGACTATGCGAGTGAGGCAGCACCAGAGAAGGAACACCTGGCCGGCCGGGGTGCTCCTTTCACACAGCAACCGGGCCGGACTTTCTAGGGATGGGGTGGATACATTTTACGTCCCTATGTCCCCCATTCCCACCCCGTGGGGACACAGGTGACTAACTCACACCGCAGCTGGGAGAGAAAGAGGTTGCCTAGGAGCAGTGCACTCTAATGTGCTATGGTTGCAAATAACAACACACATGCAATCAGCACTATAACTTAACAATACATCAACACATTCATTCCGGAGTCTGCAACGGATTCACTCTGGAGCATGTTACACATTCACTCCAGTGCCGGACTCGAGACTGCCGCTACTTCCAAATACCAGTTAAACAGACATTTCTATTTCTGAATTCCAACGCCATCTGAGCCAGTGAGCAGCCCTGTTTGCAGACCTTGCGCATTGTCAAACTTTCTTGAATGAAAAAAATATCTTACTTATTTTAAAGACTGAACCTCAGAGTTCCTGGTTTAACAAATATTTAAAGATAAAAATAAACAAATTAAAGCTCCTAAACTGGCCTTTAATTTATAAAGACGTAGCAGACAAACAAGACTATTGAAGGTGACCGTCTTGTTCACTCACCACCCAGAACGTTTTAATATAAAGATTTTATGCAAATTGAACCTAATCAATGATCACAATAATTACGTTCTAAAGCATGCACACAAAATAGTATTGATTTGAAACAAGAACACAAAAACATAACAAAAAAACAATATGTGCTGGACTTTGAAACAAAAAATTCTCATGTGTTTCATTACCATCTTCATGCATAATTTTATCCAGAATGAGACCGAAAAATGTCGTCACGTGACTGGTTGCCGAGTCTATGGTACCGGCCAAGGCATGGTAAGACCTGGTTCAATTATTTAAAAAGATGTAAAAGTTTCAAGACATTTTAAACTAAAATTTGAAAAATGTCAAAGTTACTTTAGACAGACAATAAATTTTAATGATAAGGCAGATCATTTTTTTAAAAAGCATCTGAATTTTAAAGTTTTAAAATAGTTATTTAAAACATATTTTTTAAAATCTGATAAATTATTTTTTTTTTAGAATAAATTTCAAAATGTTTACATCCCGTTTGAGCCTAAGGCCATCTTTAAAATTGGCCCAAGTGTTTATCTTTTTAAAATTTTTGAATATATTTCTATTTCTAGCTCACCAGCCGATGTGTGTGCCACATTTGGGACATTTGGCGATGCTCCAAGAGTACCCTGGAAACCAGCTGTCTGTGGCAAACTTCTGAAAGCCAAAGTTTTATCAAGAAATATAACAAAGTGACCATCTCCATTCAGCAATGGAAGATGAGGGGGGGGGGGGGGGGGGGCGGGGGGGTGGGGGTGGGTTGCACATGATGCTCAAAATGACCATGTCCATTCAGCAATGGAATATTCAGGGGGGACTTTGGGAGGAGGGTGCCATTGAAAAGTCTGCGCTGCTTGTAAAAATGCATATGAAAGTATATTTTTAACTTGCATTTTTTTAAAAACCTATGCCTCCCTATGCTTCCACTGTTTCTATCTCCCCATACTCTTCAATGCAACTATGGCTCAATAAATATCCATTGCTAGATTATTTAACCAAAAAAAAATTAATAAAATTATTTCTAATTGAAGCCTCCATTCGCATTTATTCTTAAAACTGGCAAACTTTTTTTTTTTTTTTATAAAAAGGAATGACCACAAGATTATTTTTCTTAGGTTGTCAAAAGAGCAGTAGCGGTTATTAAAAGCTTTGAACAAAATACTACCTGTGTGTCACTCTCCAGTTCAGATTCTAAACTTGTTATCAGCTCAAAGTATACATCTGAAAAAAAAAATGTGAATATTTATGAGCCATGTTGTAACATATCCTGGCTTCTATGCAGTGGATAACTTATTGCTTCACCTGAAAGAAAACAGTGGATTGAAAAAAAAAAATGTTGTTTCTTGACTTAAAATAAAGTTGAATTGTTTTTAAGCTAGTTTTATCTAAATAAAATGAGGTAAAGTTATCTCAAAAACCACATTTCCAATAATAAAATGTCTAATAATAAAAAAAAAGGTATGAAATTTGTCATGAACATAATCTTTAAAACAGTGCGGTACTTTTTAAAAACGTTCTCAGATTTCTTTGTTGTTAATAATCTATTTATTATTAGTTGATTTTATTTTTTGTGTGTAGTTTTTTAAATTATAAACTGTGATATAAGTGACATCTTACAGAGACAAGACCTAGAAAGTATGAGAGCAGGGGAAAATGCAAGATAATACACACAAAAAATGTACGCTACATAGCATGAATGGGGGGGGGGGGAGAGAGAGAGAGAGAGAGAGACGAGAAGAAGGTCAGAAAGAAGAGATCAGAGCAAAATCTAACCATTTGGATTTTTAAAAAGTTGTATGAGGACTTTGTTGCTGTTAGAGATTGTATCATTTCTTTGCCGGAGTGCCATACTACTGGGCAGAGAGGCAAGATCCTGGGCTTTGGCTACTTCATAACCACATTTTCTGCACAGAAGAAAACCTAAAAAAAAAAAAAATGTAAAATGTAAAATGTTTTTACTTTATCAATTTGACTTGGAGTAAAAGTAGTTACCATGAGATCATGCTGTTGAATAACTAACAATATTTTGGAGGAATCATATTATTCTCTTCATCACAGATACCTTAGATCAACTCTCGATCAGGGCAAATTATTTCTTAAAGTTAGGACCGACAGATATAAAAATTATTTTGTTCCCAAGTCTGTACGAATTTACCAGCCTGCTCCACCAGCAGTTACCAAATCTAAATGATCACTACTTAAGTCATTACTGTAACTAAGGGAGTTCATTTTTTGTGTATATGATGGCTGATTTGTATGCTAGAGATATGTATTTAATTATTTGCTGAAAATGTATGCACAATTTAATTTTAAAAAAACATTTCCATTTATTTGGATTAATAAAAGAATCATCTTATAAAATTGCCACCGAAAAAAGATTTTTGCATCCTTTAAAAAGATGTTAACGAATTTCTACTGGCAGAGCTGTATCAAAGAGGAGGTAAGTGAGGCAATAGCTGAGTGTGCACTATTTAATTTTGGGGGATTTTTTTTGGTTGCCTTTAAATGCTCTTTCAAAAATCATCTGTCCTATAACAGACATCCACTACTAACATTTTAATTAAAACACCAAACATATTCATGACGAAGATTTTTTTTACCCCTGGAATTTACATCTGACCAGTGAACAATAATATTTGCATTTATATCAATGATATCTTGCAAGTTTAAGTACATTCTAGACCAAAAAACTCAAAGCCATTTTTTTTAAAACTCGTGCGAGATTTGTGTCCCTCCTCAAACAAGTTACTGTGACTTAACTAGACATGTCCGAGGTCATAACACCATAAAGCAGTGCTCTGCCAACTTTTTTCACTCAACACACTCCTAGACCCTGCCCAGATTTTGCCGGTATACCAAAATAAAACAATTGTTTTTACATTTCCTATGGGATTCATTCAAATTTTTGTAAAACAGAGAAGCTTGCCTGTGGTTGTCGCCTACTATTCCAAAATCATGATTGTTGTTTCTAAACTCAATTCCAGTAAGATAAGTAGGGTTAATTAAGAAAGACACAATAAAATAGATTTTAAAATAAAATGTATACTTTTACTCTGAATAATTTCTTTCCACTCAATTCATGGGAATGTCATCCGATCCACGTTTACTCAGCCAAACCATGACAACAACAAATGATATGTAAGCCGAAATTATATGCACCAACCCATTATGCTCTTTTGACCTTGAAAATAAAGTTTTCCGTTCATGAATGTATCCCAGTATCCCATAGACATCAAATTAATATAAGCCTGTAGATCTTTTATAACAAGTCATATAACATAAAATAGTTTTCCACTACTTAAGCTCGAATATTAATATAATAGAAATATAAAAAAAACAATTTTTTAAACATAATATACTATGCACAAATTAAAAAGAATTTAAAACCGTAATATACATATTTTCAAACCCGTCTCTTAAAATCTTAGTTCTATCAGGTCTTGGTGTAGAATTGTATAAGACATCTGAAAATCATACATTTGAGGCCAAAACTATAAGAGTAACAGGGACTGCATTTATTTCAGTCACTCAAAAACAATAATAAAACAAAGCAATATTTTTTTAAAATGTGAGGCATGATGACTGTATCAAGTAATCATATGAAACATCTTCACTACCCTCAGTCTGGACAGAGTAGTTTGTGTAAGGTTTGTTTTATTTGTTGGTCAAGAAACGTACCTCAGTAGTGTACACAAATTTTTAACAACCAGCTATGAACACCTAGTCCAAGTACAGTGTAATACTTGGACTCGGTGTTCATAGCTGGTTGTTGAAAAATTGGGAAAAGCGTGGAACAAAGAGGAAGGGACATAATTTACTGGTCACACAAGCTGCATTGGGATGGTGACTCACCACGTGACCCGCTAAATTTAAGCATGCAGATGTTCTGTGCTGTTTAACTTCAAACTTTTGACAGCTTGTTAGTCAGAAAATTATTGTCTCTTTTGTGTCAGTGAGAAAAACAAAATCGTCTTTGCATGTTTTTTCAGCCCCTTGGATGAATTTTGCCGTTGAACACCTATTATTGGCTCACAGTTGTGGAGCTCTGCCTTAAAGCAATACACTTGTAATTGATAACAGAAAACAGTTGTCTTCATAATATTTTTTCAGAGGAAATAGGACTTTATTAAGTATCTTTAAAATGGTAAATTGCAAAAAACACAAGGGAGAAAATTCCTATAGCCCTGGAATCCCCGTATGTAAGGGGGCTAATGCCCCCCCCCCCCCCCCCCCCCAAAAAAAATGTCCCACTTAATAATAATAATATGTATGACTTTGGAAAAATCAAGGAACAACTTAGACTTAGACTTATTATTAAGTTTGTACATTGCACTAAAGCGCCTAAAAAATTTGACCTTTATTATTTTTACAAAAATAATGTTATTGTATTTGCTAACCCTTGCACCATTAATGTATGATTATGATAATGTCAATGTTAACTTGTTTTTGGGTTAAAAAGTAAACTTTTCTTGCAGACTTAGACTTACTTTTAGTAATAATAGGGTCTAAATAGTTCCTTAGTTTATAAGATGGCTGTTGCTTGACGCAGCTGATGATGGTGAGTTAATACACTATATTAGGATTAAAACTAGAATTAAGAAGAGAGTCTGCCAATGAAGGACTCACCCAACTCGCACTCTCACAGTCACCAGTGACAGTGACCAGTCACTGACCAGTGCTTAGGCTTAAGTTTAAGTCAGTGAGTGGTTATAAATATTTATAAACGAAAACGGGCCGTTTGTTATGAACCACTATTATAATTCTATGATAAAAGCACCTTCAAATTCTCCATCATACTGAACGCATGTTACACCAATAATAATTTGCAGTAAACAGCATGCCCATATAAACTCAAGTAAATTTGCCGTTGCGATTATAAATTTCGTTTTTACGGGCGCTGCCATATTGAAAATATAAGCAGGCTGGGATTTGTTGACATTCTAATGGATTAAGACCATAATATTTTGGTACAAATTTTTTAATTCTTTCTATCATCATTTATATTCAAAATAATTAAGGTTTTTAGCTAGTATATTTGTACTTTTATATGTAAAACAATAATCGTTAAAATTGTTTAAATGTATCAATAAGATTTTCTCTTCTTTTTTTGGACAAATATTGTGAGCGTAGGAATGTAACCCTCATTATAATAATGCTGTTCCATCGTTTATTCTGCACCCTTGTTTAACTCATTATTTTAAGCTTCGTTCCATAAGATGCCAAATATTTTTCGAAAATTTTAAGCATAAAAAATTTTATATAAAAAATAGTTTATTTAGAAATATATAATTTTTTAAATAAACTAAATAATTGTTACTATTCGCACACGATTCGCTAATAGTTTGAGGGATACAAAAATGAAGTCAGCTCTGACAATAACACCCCTTTTAACCACAAGGCCCAGCTGATTTGTCTAAAATTGGAAGCCGTATGCCGCTATGCACATGAGCTGTCGTGACATTAATAATAATATATATTTTACACAATATGCATTAAGTTGCATGTTTAATATTTCAAGCATTTAAATTCATCGAGAAAATGGTTTGCCGGTGGACAATAAACACATTTTGACCTTTCCACTGTGGCTTACTTAGCCTTGGTTAGAATGATTGACAGTGCCCCAATTCTAAACCAATGAAATAGTGGGGGTGTGACCTAATAGCCAATAGAATTGTAAGTTGGCCTCCCAGGGCTGTGTTGACTGTATATCTCCGCCCTACGTCAGCACCAAAACAAACCGGCGCAGTAGTTTTGCCGGTACTTTGTTTACATCGCCAACTACTAGGTTACAGCTGATCGCTAATTTAATTGAAGTTAAAACCATATTTTGTGTAAATATCTGTGAAATTTTTGGACCTTGTTGTATACAACGATTAAAATATCCTTTATGTGTGTGTTAGACTATCCAAACACCTAAAATGTTTGGAAATAAACGACTAGCGAAGAGATCTATCGTTGGGACCCGAGTAAGTGCTTTATCGCAAGATGGCCGTTATAACCCTGGCATCATTCAGTCACAACTTTCGGAGGATACCATTACTTCTAGTGCTGTATATATCGTTCGTTTCGATAGCGGATTGTGCCAGAATATCAAATCAAAATCAATAATTGGTCATGGGTTTCAACCAATTGCTTCAGCTATACTTAAGATGGGACAAAAAGTTTTTCTAACTTTAAATGGCCGTGAGGTTTGTGGTGTAGTCTTACGTCATGACCGAGATAAAGACGAGGTTACAATAAATGTAAAGACTCCCAGCGGAGACGACTTTGAAGCTCTTCGCAGATTAGAAGATGTCCGTTTGTTGGAAAGCAGAAAATCCGCTAGACTTGTTGACCAGCCGGACACAGACTATTCTAAACTCGCGGACTTGCAGCTTAGTAATGTTACATCTGAAGCTTACATCCACAAAAAGAGAGTCTCTTCCCACGTCATCGACGTGCCATCTGCACCCTATGACAAAAATGAGTAAGTTTTAACAATTAAATATACCAATTAGTATAAGGGAAGTGAACCATAATTAGTGAGGACCACGATAGAGCAGCCAATATATTTATATATTTATTTTGTAACCTTACAAATGCTACCCATCCATGCTAACCCTAATTTTCCCATGGTCATTTCCCCTGGTCATTTCCCCATTTTAAAGTTGTGTTTTTTTTATTTTAAAAAACATATTTTAATTGAACTAGTTAATCAAGTATTGCTTTTTTATTAAGAAATTGATTGTTTGACTACTCAATTTTATTGGACATATTTATGTCATTCCCCTTTTTTTTTTTAAATTTAATAATTATCTAATCGAACGTCAGTCAGCTTTAAAATGTACAACTTCTATTCAATCACCAATGACATTATTGTTTCCCTCAGCATATGAAACTTTATTTTCTTCAACATTACAATTATAAATTTACAGATGTGTGTTATGATTTCTATAATAGCCGCTGTCCAATATTAAGCCGGCATATATGCAACTAACGACGAGTTAAGCCGGTAACTAAAAACAAATTTTAAAATAGTACGTGCCGGTGTACTATTTTTAAATCCGACGTGTGACTACGTCATGCTAGTGCAATCGTCCGTCTGATAAAGTGATAAACCCGATAATTTTTTTTTTCAAAGAAACCCCTACTTGTACCTGGTACCGAGTCAGTTTCGCTATAGTTTCCCATTTATTGAAATTGATTGGTAAAAAAAATAATAAGTTTTGGCTTTTAATTCATTTTTTTTTTTTAATGCTCCGCCTGCTATAGAAAGTCTCCAGGTGGCCTTTTTGTTTGCGGAAAAAGAATACATAATACATGATCTATTTAGACTCAAGTGGTGTTTTTTTTTTCCTCTGGGAAATGCTTTTCCTTTAAGTTTAAGTTATTTTTAATAAAGTTCAAGGTTGTCATAAGTAGGCCTACATATTATATGAAATAGTATTTTCATTATTTATTTTAAATGACATGATCACAACCTGAATCGCTTTACACAACGTTTAAATAGGTAATTACAAAAAGATGTGCACAATACAGTAGGACTATATACAAAATCTGCAATCTAAATAGCCTAACTCTACAAATGGCTACTATTGATTGTGATCCAACAGCTGTTATTTTTCCCTCCAAAACGTGCGCTTATGTGAGTATTTTCTCGCGTACGGTACACAGCGCCGTGAGCACGCGAACGAAGAGGTGGACAGCCAGTGCGTGGGTGTTGCTTATTGTTCTTGGAACATATCACACGTCGGTATTTTGACGTTTAACCCACAAAGAGGATGGATCCTCCTCTTTATCGGGAGACATTACTGGGCCTACCACACAGCCCCTCTTCCGTCCCCGTCCTTATGAAATCCGTTGATTGTATTTTATGACATCACTCATATAGTTTTTGTCCTTCATTTGATGTAAAGAATTTAAATTATGAGTGCAGTTCGGTGACTGATCCGGCCATGCACACAAAAAATGTTTAAACAAGAAGCAGCACAGTGATGCACACGGTTAGATCGTAGGATATTTTTCCTTTACAATTTGTACTAACTCTCTGAGAAAGGGGACATGAACTCCTCTCCCTAACCACCACTTGTCCGAACAATTACTGCCCCTTGTTATCCACCACTTGTTCCATGGAAGTAGTGACCGTTATTGAGTTTTGTTAGTTTTCTACAATATATACATCTGATCATAAATAAGTGTACACATCATTCCAACATTCTAAATGTGTGTGTTCAGTGCTAGAGCGGTCGCAGTTGTGTTTCTTGCGTATCGCCTCCTCCTACCCTCTTGTTTCAAACAGATTACACAAATGTTTTTTTTTGGTGGGGGGGGGGGGGGTTAACCCATATAACTTTTTCACAGGTGGTTCCAACCATCCCTCCCCC